GGAAGTGCCTGGAAAGCAGAGCAGTGGATTAGTGCGGTGCCGGAGCGGAGGTAGCCAGTGCCGCGCCTGAGTGGACAGGAGATGGTTTCTGGGTTTCTTCTTCTCGCCGCGTCCTGCCTGCGTGGGCCGGCGGCTGCCCCTGCTCACCTGGAGCCTGCTCGCTCCACACTCGGAGTTTAGCCCTGGATTTAACTCCGATCTTGACAGTAACCCAGCTCAGCCCGCACACAGGAGCTTGACTGGCTTTTTCCTCCGTGCGGTGGACTGTAAGATTACAAAGCACTTTTAGGAACGTCGTTCATGTGGTTAAGGTTACATTAAGTCAAGACACTTCAATGGTGTAAATGTGCAAATCGTGCTGTGGAATTGTTAGCTTTTAAACTGCACATAGGCCTAAGCTGACGTGTGAGCCTTGGTTTAAGTGAGTATGACGTCCTATGGCATGGAACATCCCTTTGGCTAGTTCAGGTCAGCTCCCTCCCACCTTCTTGTGGACCAGCTTGCTGCCAGAGCATGGGAAACTGGGAGATCCTTAACTTAGGATAGACACTACTTAGCAACAACTGTAACATCAGCATGTTGTCAAATCCAACACCCAGCACTGCACCAGCTACTAGGAAGAAAATTCACTCCATCCCAGCCAAAACCAGGACAGACCTCTATAAGCAACGTTTGTAAACTACGTTCAGACACTGGTGTGGATAGCGCAGGGAGGCTGTTGATGCCCCGTCACTGGGGCTGTTCCAGACCAGGTTGGCTGGGGCTTGCACAAACTGGTCTCGTGGGAAGTGTCCCTGCTCATGGCAAGAGGGCTGGAACTAGATGATGTTTAAGGTCCCTTCCAGCCAAAACCATTCTATGGCGCTGTATATAACCTAGGTCTGCCTCTTGTGAACAGAGATTATTTTGGTTAGGATACTTCAAAAGAAGTGAAGAGCCACAAAATACTCTTGCTTCTGAAAAAGTATATGGGTCTTAGGAGGTGCTTATGAATTTTAGAAAAATAATGTATTGCTCACAAAGTTTGTAATTTCTGTTGTAAACATTTTTTTTTAGCCCTTACAATCTTCAGCAATATCTTCTACACACATTCTTTATGTTGTATAGTTGTTTTCTTGTGGCAAAAATAGACTGGCCATACCTTTTACTCTAATCAACAGTTGTTCAGGTTTGGGACTTTTTGCTTTAAAGTCATAGAAGAGAGTCATTAAGGTTGGAAAAGCTCTCCAAGATCATCGAATCCAATCATGTCACAGTACTGAAAAGATGCCTGGGGATTTATGTTTTAATACACACTTTTTAAAACCTTTACATGCTATCTATGATGTTCCAAAGTATCTATACAAAGAGACTGCAGAACTGAAGATCTCTCTAGATAAAGATCTAATTGTGTAACATTTGAATGCAATAGCATGTGATAGCATTTCTAGTAGTTTGTTTTTTTTTTTTTTATTTCACAATCTTACTATCTTTCAGTGAAAAATTAGCTGGATTCTAAAATAAATTCTTCGTCTTGTTTGATGTGTGGAAATCCCTTCGTGCATAACCGTTTACACAGTGGTACTGAGAGGCTTGTGGAACATGTTCTCAGTGTCCTGTGGGAACACTTAGAAGAGAATTGGATAATGATTCTTACTTTCTTTTGTTTCAAAACCAGGGATGTTGTGGAAACAGAAGAGCATTATAAGAGCAGGTGGCGATCCATATGGATTATGTATCTTACCATGTTTCTCAGTAGTGTAGGTGAGTAAAACACAGGTGGATTTCAGTGTTACCTCCTTAATGCATCTATTTTGGTTTAAAATATGACGGTTTTCTAGAGTTTAGCTGCATAGCTGCTTTAATGCTACTGTTCATTTATAACTTTAAAAAGGTGCATTTTCTGATTCTTCAAAAAGGAAGATAAAACTAGAAAATCAAAGTTATATTTGATAAGTTAAATAATACTGTGTTTTTAGACTATGTGACCTATTACTTAAACCTTTGGTTAATGGCTCTGTAGTAGTTTGGGATAAAAGATAGTGGCAGAGTAAGTTTATTGCTCAGAGCAAAACAAAGGTCACACTTTTCTCATCCAAAGTGAAACTTCTAGGGAATGGAAACAGAAATAACACAGAGTTGTTAAGAGGTAACACCTTTGTGGGCATGTATGTTCCCTATTTCAGAATGGGATTGAGAGGAGATTCTCTCATACAGGATTTTGCATCTCCTCTGCACAACAAATTACTGTTTCATTCTTAAATAACTGCCCCTGGAAAGAAGACTTCTGGTGGTTTTTTTTACTATTGGTGATTAAAATTTCTTTGATAAATTAATATTAATACGTCAGTGTATCAGGAAGTTATTTTTGCTCTAAGGGCCTTGTGATTCCATTGGGAGGACAAATCCCATGTGGTTTGCTTGGCACGTCAGTGTTCGTTTCATCAATGTTTTTTTTTATTTGGTCTGTATGCACCTATAAGATATCCTTTTAAACATAGTTCCTCCTGTTAGGAGGAATTATCACTCCTTACCCAAATACATAATACATATTTTTTTGAGGTGACAGACTGATGCAGTTTTAGACTATAGTACACTTAGGAGCAGAAGCATGAACCTGTAATAACTGTTTCAGTAAAGCAATTTACTGATAAACACTGCAAATTAACTTTGGTTATGTTCTTATTGCATTGCAGGTTTCTCAATTGTAATTATGTCTGTGTGGCCATATCTCCAAAAGGTTTGTTAATTTTTAATATTATTTTTTTAATTAAAGAGAACAGAAGACTTCTGCTCAGAAAGAATGTAGTACAAAACTTAGCACCCTATTTAGGAAATGAAACAGTAGAGGGAAGCATGTGTTCATAAGGGACTTTTATTTTGCCATTCACTTAGGTTTCATTCATGTAAAATCTGTCAGTCGATTTGCTGAATTGATGAAGGTACCTCATAATGCAGAGATGTTTGGTTTTACAATATAATTTTACTGTTTTCTTGGGCAGTGAATCAATAGAAATCTCATCTGAATGCTTTTTTACTGTTCAAATGTAATACTCAAGGCTTGTCTGCACTCTGGGAAAAAAAAAAAAGGAAGCTGAACTTTCACCTAGTCTGCGCTAGGATTTGACTGCTCCTGGAATTGAAGAAGGCAGTTTCAAATGCAAATTTGGAAGAACGTATCCTGGGCAGGGCCCTAGAGGTATCGATAAAATTGAAGCTGGTGCTGAATTCTGGGAGCAGGAAAGAAAATGCATCACCAGCTTTGTAAACCAGGACAGACTCAGGCATGTGCAGAGATGACTCGGGTGATTCTTCGCTCCTGGCACGCGAGCTGCCTAATGTGCTGCCACAGTTCTGGCTCTGGCCTGTAACATCAGCAGTGCTGTATGAGAACTGCCTGAGTTTGTGGCAAGTGAGCCATTTCCAGTCTCTAAGCAAGGAGCTTTTTCTTGGCTCGGTGCATTGCTGGAGGCCGTTAGCCGAGGTTTGTTGCCCCATACGAGTCCTGCATGGAAAGAACCCTCCTGAGCAGCCCGGGCCGGTGTGTTTGTGTCACACTGCAGACGGGCTGACTTGTTCAGCCTGCATTGCTTTCTGCCATATACTCTGAGAATTCCAGCACGGGGCCTTAGGTTTAGCGTCCAATTCTAAAATGTTTTTGCTGATACTATAAAATACTATACTATTGTATTCATAGAACTGATTCATTTGTTTCTGCAGATTGATCCGACGGCAGATGCAAGTTTCTTGGGCTGGATTATAGCTTCATATAGCATTGGCCAAATGGTTGCCTCTCCCTTGTTTGGCTTGTGGTCCAATTACAGGCCAAGGAGAGAACCTCTCGTTGTTTCAACTGCTATTTCAGTAGGTGCTAATTGTCTTTATGCCTATGTCCACGTACCCCATTCACACAACAAATACTACATGCTGACTGCACGTGCTCTTGTGGGATTCGGAGCAGGTAACCACAGCAGAATTCACATTTCTGAAAATTATTAAATTCTACGTCTTGTGTAAGATAATTAACATGAGATTTTAGTACCAGCTTTACCATTATTTGGATGAGAACTTATTACTTAGCAGAGCAAAGCATCTGCCCATACTAGTTTATAATAAAATTGTGTACTTGTGTGGTTGTGTATAAATACTAGACAGAGTGCTGGGGTTTATTTTCTTGCAAAATGAGAAGTCCTCCCCATAATAAATACAACTGGGTGATTTAAGTATATGATTTAATAACACATAAACACTGTCTTGGTTTTGATTTTTAAGGAAACGTGGCTGTGGTTCGATCGTATATTGCGGGTGCCACTTCTCTGACAGAAAGAACGAGTGCCATGGCCAATACCAGTGCCTGCCAAGCAGTTGGCTTCATATTAGGACCAGGTAAAGCCTATCTTCTTTCCTCACTTCTCTAATACTTTTTAGGGTGAAATTTGGCATTGAATGTAGTAATCCTCAGCAGCTGTATGTTTGGGATATTAAGGCATAGTTTGTCAGTGGTATCAAAATGGAATAAATAGGGTTCATTTATATATACTTGTGTATGCCAATCCAAATGAAATAGTCTAGTCCAAAGAAATTCAAATTGTTTGTAGTTAAAAACTATCTGGTTTGGATTGCTGGCTGCAGGTTAAAACAAGTTCCAAGTTGCTCTGTACTAGCCCCCACTTAATAGTCTAGGACTAATTGCACTTTATTCATGGAGGAGGGAATTTAACATTACTGTTCAAACATTGTGGCAAACATTTCCACCTTTCCTAAATGACTGAAAATTTCACCTTGCCTCACATATTGTAGAAAACACCATCCAACAGATCTTTCTGGTCTTGTAGTGACAGTCACAAAATCTTCATATTGGGAAAAATTTGAAAACATAGCACAGGTGGTACAGAGAACTAAGGGAATAAAGAGCTTGGGGGGGGGATGTTAGGTCAGATGCAGCTGTGGCTCCAGAGGTACTCTGCTTCATGGAAGAAATGTGACAGACTCACCTTATGTTGCAGAGCCTCTACTGATACTTGTGTTCTATAGCTGGAGGTTAAGATTATCCAATTAGTAGACCTGAAGTGCTCTGTGTGTGGTGATATAATGAGCTGGATGCTTAGGGCTGAGATTTTTTTCTCCCATTGACTTAGTGCTGTTGATAGAGCATTAAAGGGTCTACAGCAACAAAACATCTATGTTCTTTGAGTGATTTGCACAAAGTATAAGTTTAGGTAATTACCTTTCCTAATTTGATAGGGACTCTCAGTCTGTATCCGAGCAGCAGCAAGCAAATGACCTGATCTTAGGATCTTTTGTGCTTCACCAATTTGAATTTATTTATCATTCTAATAAAAAATCTCCCACAACTTATTTTCTCTCTAGCTTGCCCTTAGCAGGAGGAATAGTCCAGTCCCACAGCCAAGGTTTTCCATGTAGGGGGAAGAGGAAACAGAGTAAACCTGCTGTCTGCGCATGGCCAGGAAAACTAACCACTGGGACCCTCAGAATTCAGTTCCAGTTCTCTGAGTGTCATGCTGCTATTTATACAGTGTGCTTGCATGTAGCCAAGTAGTTTTCTGACTAGTTGAGATCCCACTGGCATCCATCAGTTTATTCACAGTAAAATTCTCAAAATGTAAAAGGATTGACAGGTGTAAGATTTAAATTTTACTATGAAACTGGATAAGCAAAGTTGTTCTGTGTTTATTCTATATGTGTTCTAATGTTTTCTTAATGATTCTCAAGTTATCTTAATAGAAATATGGTTTTAAGTTTTTCAGACATGCTTTACACTAATTGGAGAAGAAGGAATAACATGGAAATTAATTGATCTTCAGCTGAACATGTATACAGCACCAGTTTTATTTGGAGCTGTCTTAGGAGTTATTAATATTATTCTCATCTTTCTCATACTCAGGTAATCAAGTCAAAAAAAGAGACATATTCTACCTTGTTTTAGTGGATGGCCTGTAACAATTAATATGGGGCCCAGGAGGAGGAGTAATAAGCCTGAAATTCAGAGCCCTAAAACTATAAGCTGCTACTTAATTTTTCAGTATTTCTACATTCTTTAATATGTACTTTCTTCATTTTGCTCATAAACTAATTATACCAACATTATGGCTAGAATGTAAACTGATTAAAGAAATTGTAGCTGTGTATTAGCTTGTTATTTAGCTTAACCTTGATAGATTTTTATGTTGATGGTTTCTGCCCATGTTTTTCCTCTGAAAAGAAATATAGTTAACTTGCCTGTAGGGTTCTCACTGTCTGTCTTTTGAGGATCTCGAAGGGGGATTTTTATGCCTTATCCCATCGGTGGCAGTGAGGAGAGGGGAGATGCACACAGATAGGTGATGTTCTCCCACTAGAGTATTTCCTTTCTTGGACATGCTGGTGGTCACTACAGTCTAATGCAGGCTACACAGGTGATGTTTAAAAGAGCTGGGAATAATCAGAATATAAGATTATGCCATTTAGGAAGATATTATTAGAAACTTCGTAGACCAAATAAATAAATATGTGTATTAATGAAAACAGTTTTAAATTTCTAGAGAGCATCGAGTGGATGACATGGGACGGCAGTGCAAAAGTGTCAATTCTGAAGGAGAAGGTATCTATGTTTTCTTGAAAACTTATTCTATGATAGTAATTTTGAAGTTCTTTGTTATTATATACAAGGATTTGGAAGTATTCTAAAGTCTGATGGATTTGGAACTCCAAGTGGAAAACAGGTGGCATCTCTAACTGGGCTAGAAAATTATTTGTGTCCACATCGTGTCTGTATGTGTCCACAGAACAAAGGGAAAGAAAAAAAAAGTAAAATTGTATGGATGCTTCCAGACTTTCACCCTGGAACCATCTGTTCTGAGAGACAGCATGAAGTGAATATGGACATCAAAAAAATCTCCCTTAACTTCTACTCTGCAGTCACGCTTCTCTTTTGTTCTGTATCATGCTGAGTTGTTGCCATTACTGCCCATCAGCTTTCACACACGGCATCTTGCTGAAAGGTGTGTGTTGTCTAAGTAAGTTTCGTTGGTGAGAGTAAAATTCAGTAATTGCAACAGCTTATCTTCAATATATACCCTCTTTGTACACAGTTCAAATTTTTTAAAATGTTGTATAGTTTTCACTTGAAGAATACAAAGTGAACGAAAGATAATCTTAAACCTCTTTTAAAATGTACGGAATTCACTAGTTTCAGTATTAGTTTTCTGTTTAAGAAGGGAGTTGTGTGCACACACCACACATGGGTACTTTGCATATGAAGACACTACACCCAGAGTAGAGGGACAAAGGCTCTGTGGTGGTGGAATTCTCCTGCTGTGTACTTTTGGCCTTGCAAGAGGAACTGGAAGCGTTTCAGTTTCCAATGATAAGATATTTAAAGAAGTTTCCTTATGTTGCTGGCAGTCAGGACTTGTCAGTCCCAGCATTACAATGGGACAACAGGTGGTAGAAACATTTCCCTCCCTTTTGATTTAAACATGTTGTACGTAGATGTCACAATATAACTGCCTAGCTGCCCACCCACCTGCATGTTAAATACTTAACAGAGTGGGGAAATCATTAGTGTTAGTCATTTCTGGTTGTGCTAAAAAAACTCTTATGTGCAGTTTCTAATACTCTTCTCTTGTGTTACAGAAAACGATGCTGTGGATCAGGACACAGAAGGAAATGTTGACCACGTTGCTGTGGTAGCACTCAATTTTCTTTTCTTTGTCATCTTGTTTGTGTTTGCTGTCTTTGAAACGTAAGTTTGCCTATTTTCTCTCAAAATACTTAGACTTGTGACGTAGTTAGATTGAGTGTGCATGTAAAGGCTTTTCTGTTGCACACATTTTCTTAACCACAGAAGACCAAAACCATATGAAGTCAAATTGATTTGTACTGATACAGAACAATGAATTCAAGGTCAGTAATAAATGAAAATATGTAGCATACTGTTAGTGGTATATGAAGTGTTCATGTAAAAGCTTTCGAATGAATGCAAACCCATATCCTCACATTTTTAAGTGTTACAAAAAAAGCAGCTTAACTTGGGCTACCTAAAATCTTCAGACAAAACTCTCTTCAGTTGAGTGCCTTGTTCTATACTTTTTAAATTTTTTTTGTAATTTCTTAGCATGATTCTGATTAGCTCTAAAAGCTGCAGTGAAGCTCTTAGTAATGATTATTTCAGTAATGATGAAAACAATTGTTTGATGTAATTAATGCAATTGTATTCTTAAATGCACTACTTTGCATGATTTTATTTTTACCTAAAGAGATATGTTGCCCATTCCCAAATTTTCTGTGTATAAGAAAACAAGTAAAACATAGTGGCATTACCTCAGACAGACATACTTCCTTTTTTAATTTATAAAAGATTCAATTTTTAAGCCAAATTTTTTTAAATTTCTTTTAACAATATGTCTCGGTCTTAATTGAGAGCCTAGAGACTGGTTGCTAAAACCAAAACAGTATTAGATGTTTATTACTTTGATACTCACTGAGCCTGATTTTTTGTTTTCTTTCTTTATTGCTTTGCTTGAACTCCACCTTTCCATTAAATAGATCGATGAGGCTTCAGAGTATGGCTGATGTAATGCAGTTGTGAATTTTGTGTAGTGGATTTAGTTTTAATACATGATGTGTGACAGAATTAGTTGAAAAGTAGCCTATGTTTTCTGATATGTCCATCATCAGGAAGGGCTTCTATAAAACTGTGATGTTTGGGACAAAATATGTATGGAAATGGCTGTACAGAAGAAAGTTTTTTTAAATTAATGTTATTTTGTTCTGTCCATTTAGTATAGCTACTCCACTGACAATGGATATGTATTCCTGGACCAGGAAAGAAGCTGTTTTTTATAATGGAATAATCCTTAGTGTGGTTGGCATTGAATCAGTTATTGTTTTCATGGTGGTTAAAATGCTATCTAAAAGGTAAGTTTTTTGGAGTTTATCAGAATTATATTACTTACACTAGCTAAGTGTGAGAAGCTTTATGGCAATGCCAAATCTGCATTAGTTAACTTGTTAATGAATTTGAATTTAGTATGACAATGGTGTATTTCCAGTTTTGGCACGGCCATGATGCTGTGGTGGCTCTTTATCCTCTTAACATAACCCCTTTGTCTTTTATCTTTGAATCACAAAAAACCCAGGGTTTTAAGTTGCTGTGATTTTGCAATTTTTGTTGCAGGTGTTTTGGGCAGGCATCTTTTCAACACACTAATGGGCTCTGTCATTAGCACCTTCGTAAATTTTCCTTTAATTAAATATTTAATTGTGAGTTTGTTGTTTGACAGGACTGGTGAGCGTGCCATACTCCATGGAGGCTTACTGATTGTCTTGGTTGGATTCTTTATCTTACTACCTTGGGGGAAAAAATTACCAAATATCCAGTGGCAAGGTATAAATCAAGTCATACTAAACTATCATTGTAATGTTTTACTGAAAGCTTTTTGTTGTATTTTTTTCCTTAATGGCATGCGTAACATGTTTTTCCAGAAATAAAGAACAACTCCATTCCCAGAGCAGCTGCCACGGAAATGCTGATGCCTTTCTGGAGTTGGCAAGCAGTGCAGCTCCCAGACAACCACACAGCGGAACCCGTAGGCTGCCCTGTCACCCAGTCCTGGTGCCTGAATACTCCCAGGATCTACCTGGCCCAGTATATCAGCTCTGACATACTCATAGGACTGGGTTACCCAGTTTGTAATGTCATGTCCTACACTTTATACTCAAAAATTCTGGGACCGAAGCCTCAGGTAAGCATGATGCCTAAACCCATAATTTCATTTGCTCCCCAGGACTTGGACTCTTCTTTATTAGAAGGAGGAGGGATCTAACTAAAATTCCTTTTGCCATCAGCCAAATAATGGTACATTTCAACTGGGGCAGAAGTTTCCAGGAACTTTTTTAAAATCTGAGGCAAGTCTCCAGAGGAATTGGAAGGCAAGGCTTTTACTATCATTTATGGCAAATCTTACAGCGTGAAAATTTCGGAACAACTAAGCCCAAAGCTTGTGGCTCTCACAGGTGTTCTGGAGGTCTCCTTTTTGTAACAACCAATTATATATTTGGAATATCAGCATGCAGAAATGTGCCTTTTACTAAGTACATTAAAGACTACAAATGCTATGATTGTTATTGACATTTTACAGTGGTGAAACCCATAGCAAGCTGATATTACTGCTTAAGAAAAAATTTTCTTCCTTTTTCACCAGTGGTCTCATTTTTCCACGTTACATTTTGCTGTAAGAGACTCAATGCTTTGAGCCAGAACGCCTTTTATTGGAAAGCCTTGAGAGTGTGTAGCTCAGTGAACCCTTTGAATTAATCCTTAGAGAAGCTGAGTAGTACTCTTGGAAACAAGGCACTCAGTATCTTCATAAGTGGCAATAAGAATGACCAGCAGTTGCTTAAACACTTCTATGTTTTCTAATTAAGATAAGTGGTGAGAATCATTGACTGGCCACATAATTCCTGTATCACTAACATAAGCTTTTGATCTTCTGTAGGGTGTCTACATGGGATGGTTAACTGCCTCTGGAAGTGGAGCACGAATACTTGGACCTGTTTTTGTGAGCCAAGTATACACTCACCTAGGACCACGCTGGGCTTTTAGCTTAATCTGTGGAGTAGTTGTCCTCTCTCTCTTACTCTTAGAGATAGTATACAAGAGACTGATTGCATTTTCTGTCAGATATGGAAGGATGCAAGAAGCAAATTGTTAAAAAAACCCAAAACTAAACCCAACCAAAAATAATACTTCAGTTTATTACTACTGTTTAATGAGGAGAACCTAACCACTGACCTTGTTGGCTGTATGCTGAGAACTGTAGATCTGTAGTTACATGTCGACAGAAGATGTAACTTGGTTGCACCTGCTGCAACAGAGCTTTTGCATTCTGCTTTCCTAGCAGCAGGGGAGGAGATGTGAACTGCTTAGATGAATACAGTGGCACATTTGAAGTGTGGACAGTTTAAATGATGCACTGAAAGCAGCTGTGAAGGTCACAAGTTACGTGCATCCTTCCTGGAAAGAAGTAGAAATATTTATCTTGATTCTGTGAATCAGGGTTAGTAACTCTCACAACTACAAGGTTAGTTGAGTTGCACACACTTTGTGTGGGGACATCACAACATCTGTGAACCTGCTGGTGTCCAGTTTGCTAGCTCGTAAACACGGGTTAATGGAACATGCTTCACTTTGGGAACTGCTACGCATCGGTACATCTTCTCCAGGAGCTCAGGGGACTGCGGCAGCAGTGTAGGGGGAGGCAGGGGCTGACTTCACACACGGTTTATGTGGGATTTGGGTGTTTTAAGTTGGTTATGAGCCGTTGAAAATTACAGCCTCAGGGGCTGTTACTCCAACTGCATTGCACCATATGGCAATTATTCTTGTACTGTTTTGCTGAATGCCTTTTTGTAGCAAGAAAGCACGGAGTTGAATTATGCACAGCTTTTCTTAACTTTACTACAAGGAGGAAACACTAAGCATGAGTTTACATTACCTTTGTCATTATTTGTGAGAACAAATGTACTGTGCTGAGCAACCAGTCTTACTGTTAAATAGGAAACTGGCTTCTCAGATGTTGATTATTGTTTGTGGGCTTACTTTTATTCTGATAATAAGAGTATGAGAAACAAGAATTTACAGTGTTTGAATCATTGTGTTTATTTTTAAAAGTTAAATCATTTTCCTTCATAATGTGGCCTAAGCTTGGGGTTTGTTTTATCTGTTTAATACTAATGGGGGAAAAAAATCTAGAATAACTTCAGTATCAGGGTTGTAGCTGCTGATAACATGTCTAATATTGGAAGGCTACTGAACTTAATAAACATAGCTAAGCATTCCTATGTAATCAATTGTTCAAACACTAAAAGACTACTGAATTAAAAGATTATTTTTTCAATACTACTGAAGGGAATACAGAAGTTTCTTTTCTCTCTCAGCCTTTCCTGTTGCAGAATCACAAAATGTTATGAGCAAAGATTTCACTTTTATAAGCATTTCTTTTAAATGCTGATTCATAGTAAATAGTATCAGAAATAAACTGTTTTGATGATGAAAACAGACTGCAAAATGAAGACTTAAGAGTTACAGCAGCCAAAAGTTACTTCAGTCATGAGAAATTGGTGTTACCTCAAACATGAGAAATGTGGGAACCTTCAAAATGCTAACAGGGTTAGGATTTTGTGTTCCACAACTCAGTTTGTGCTGGAAGTATAGATGTTGTAGGGGTTTTCATTACTGGTGTTCTTCAGGCTAACTTGCTTTGGATTGTGTTGTAGCTTTTTTCAAGTGTTGGGGATAAGACTAGATCTGAGTCTCTTCCCCTGTGAGTCCCTGAAGAATACAGAAAATCCCTAAAAAGGGGTAGCCCACACATGAATAGATTTACGTAACGATGAAAGTAAGAAAGCAAGGTTTGAAATTCTTTGGCCATGAGAGCTGTTTTTATTTCCCTCATTTGGCTGTGTTTTAAGCTATGGCTCGTTTGTTACAGATCAACAAAAACATGTTTTTTGTAGGACTGAGAGGATGATATTCACAAGTAGAGCTTCTGGTTTTGTTTTCTTTTTATCCTGGTTAGCAAGGTAATAAAAAAACTGCACTTATATCACAGTGTTCCTTACAAGCTGGCTGATTGTTCTCTCTAAGCATTTATTCCTTCCTGTCCCCTGTTGTTTCCCTAAGTGTTCTTCAATTATTTGTGTATTTAGCTTGTACACCAGACTTGATTATACTACATTTGAAGTAAAAATCAGTCTGGCTGCTAATGTAATTTTTAACATGCAGTGCTGACCCGTGTTTTACCAAGGTTGACTTGCTCCTTTAAAGTGGTTCTTCTAGGAAAGCTGTATTTATGTGCATGCAACATTTGCATTTACAGGTACATTCAGGAAAACCTTGGAGTCTGCATGGCAGCTATGCATCCTACTTGGTTTATCGAAGACTGGGAACAGTGAAGTCTGGAAAAACATACAAAGTGCAGTGCAGTTTTTCAGTTCAGCAAATTAGAAGTAACTGTGCAACAGTTTTATACTGTTCCTCCCAAGCTTCACCCAGCCCTATGTGCCCAGCATACCATCATATGCTGTAAGAAAGCAGATGGGCTCCTGTTCAGCTGTTCAGAAAGGAGACCAGCTCCTATACACTGAGCTTAACACTTAAAGGAAAGGGCTCTCATTAAACCATCACTTGAACATGAAAACAAATAGATCTGGACCATTACCACTGCATTTATTTTTTTTCCTGTATGAAATGCTTGTGCAGGGAAGTTAAAGCTGCTGCTACAAAAGATAAAAACAGTTATAAAAACATATACATATTTACATATATTACTTGTAAGACGTAAAAATATAAGTTATTTACAAATACAAACACTTCAACAGCACAGATGCATTTTCCTTGATTGTTGGCACTGAGAAAGCAGTGGAAGAAAAAAAAAAAAACCACTACCAACAGATTCAAATTATTTCCAAAAAGTTGATGCTATCTAGAACCAAGTTGCTCAAAGTTTTGCTTGAGCAAGATTATCCATCCTTCTTAGGAAGAACGTGTTTTATATGATACAAGTCATTTGCTATGTGTAAACAGAACAACCCTTCCCTTCCTATGTATTTTTTTTTACCAGCTTTTGGAATAATTTCTGTATAAGCTGAGTAAGATCAGTCACTTTACTTGAAAGTCAGTGAGTTTATTAAGCTCTTATGTCCTGACACCTGCTTTGCTTTAATCAGTGGGGACCAGCTGGATTGGTAAACATCACAAGAATAGAGGACAGACAGTGCAGCTTCTCTTTGATGTATTCTGGCAACTTATCGTTTTCTCCATACCTAGAAAGGGAAACGAGCACAGAAAAACTTAGATGCTTGAAACAATTTATTTCAGGACAGTATAATTATTTCAAAACTTGCCTGTAAGTAGGCAAACCAGTAAGTCAAGCAGATTTTAAGGACGTCTAGACACATTAAATGGTGCTTGATGGCTTCAATCTAGGCTCCCCTTCCCTATAACTGAGAAAGTGTTTCAGATTAAAATATCTGAATGATGTTTAATGCTGCAATAACATCTGAATGGAATATGTATTACTGTCTCAAACTCTGCAGAGAGGAAGCATGTTACTGAGTGGCTATGTTTGTGTGGCAAGTGCCCAGTGTCCAAAAGATAGACCTGAAGTACTCAGGTGAAGCTTTGCCTAGGCCTCAATGTTGGCATCTATGTCCCTAAACTGACAGTGTTTAAAAAAAAAAAAAAAAGTAGTATTAAAAACTTATTTTACTTCCTCTCCCTCTTTTAAATACTGTACAGGAACAGTGGCTATACTGTAGATACCAAGTAGATACATACTCAAGCTTTTTTTTGACTCAGAGTTCAAAGGTGTAGGTGTTTCTCTTCATTTGAGTTTATATAAGCTGATCAACTGAGAAATGGTTGAAAAGCTAAGTTTTAAGATTTACAAAACAAAATGAATAGCAGCTATAAGTTTACCTTAGGTCGAACAGCCTTGCACTAAAAAAACCCAACTATTTTTATAGCAGCAACAGACTCACCTGGTTGTCTGGCCTTCTGGAGATGTATAAGTGATAGAAGAAACACCAGCTTGGGCTACCAGTTGGGACCCATCATTAAACTGAACCCACACTGCTCCACTGGTCAGCTAATGAGAGAAGTTGTGTTACAATTTGAGGATGTAGAAAAAATGCTAGGTACGTAATATTCTAATCTAGTAATATTTGAGAGTTCATAGCTATATATAGTCTCAAGTTTATATATATAAAGCAAACTTCTGCTAGGACAGGAAGCTTACTTTATCTGGATTATCAGAGAACCATTTTTTAACTCTAAAGCTGGTTCTAATGAAGAGCAGATGAAAAATCCCTCTTAGGAAACAGCTTGCCTGTTGCATACACAGACTTTGTATTCTACAGATCTGGTACATATCTGTTAAAAAAACACTTTGTTGTGACACCTTTACAGCTGCATTAATGAACAGACAGAACTTTTAACAGGTTCAATTTTTTACTAGAGGTAAATTTAAATGTCAGAAGACACTGAAACAGGCAATACCCACAAGAAAACTGTGGTAACTGAAATACTAAACTATTACCTTGCGTTTTTCTACTCTCATAGCTCACCATGGAATTTATTTAAGATGCTTATTGGGAAGGATCTTGCCACATACCATTTTTGAGAGTTAAACTGTAGCAGAACACAACTGCTCACAAATGAAGTTTGAAGTTAATGACTTAAAAATATGCATCCCAGGTTTAAAGGAAGAAAAGAACAGGCTTCCCTCCTTTATCACTATTCATTTCTCACCTGAGAAGCCCAACCAACATTTTTCACAAAGACAGATTTTAAAAGTTGGGCTGAATTTGGACTGTATTCAGTTTGCTGAGCAGGGGAGCACGTAGTTTCAGCAGTGTTAGTCATAAATGCAGACTTTTCATACGACACCACCTAAAACCCAGAAACACACAGGATTAGCAGCCTTAGTATTAATCCAACTGATTATGTACCAGCTAGAGTGGTCGATTACTACCTGTTTTCATCTTTTCATATATACAGTTTTAGCCTATATGCTTCATTTAACAGCATTAGATTATAAACTCCCCACAGGATTTGGTATGACTTTGTCAGTAGCATGACAGTTCTACTGCTTTCCTGTACTCACAAAAAAATTAGTTGTAATCAAAGTCAACATTTCTAGTTAATATGCTCACAAATAGCTAATAAAACCCCACCTCACACAAATGTAATAGCATTAATTCAAATATAACAGCAATAATTGAATTGCTGCTGGAGAGTAGCCTCCACTGCATGTTCTTGTGTACTTACAGGAGGAGCAGCGTTTGGAGTTAGAACTGGAGTAGGACTGGCAGCTGTATTTCTATCCAGCTCCATGACTTCTTTTGTACAGTTCATCTTTTCCAACAGTGGAGGTGCTACAGCCTGCGGCGATTCCATGTTGCCAGGTTTTCTGGAAAAATGAGATGAATTGAGAAAAGGTCTGTCCTAAGAGGCCTACAGAACCAAGTGAGGAGATGTAACAAATCCTTCAGTTTACCAGAGACTGTGCAGAGCACTTAATGGCACTGGTCTTCTGCAGGACTGTTTTTAGACATGCTAATTGTTAGCCTCATTTCGTCTAAATCCCCAAGTGTCTGTTGTCCTAGTACCAAAGGAGGCTTTGCAGGCCCAGAGTAAGGTGTTCGTACGTGCTACCAAGTGAGTATCTATATCTTACTAACAACTAGGAGCCTCTGCTACACAGCCCTGGTTTCTGCAAACGTGAGATGCAGATGACTGTTCAGTGAGCATGTTCAAATGCAGAAATACTTTCAAGTGAAAGATACTACCTTCCAACAATTATTGGAAAAAATGGAACACTTCCACTCCTTTTTTCTTCTTCCAAAACAGCAGATTCCAACGCAAGGCATATACGATGTCCCTGCAATGAGAAGGAGCTTGTTGAAGTTTTAATTGAGAAGAGTGTAACTACTTCATACATGGTTAGCATGGCAGGGGAGCCTCAACAAGGAAATGCTTTTTTCAGCGGTACTGAACATCCACAATAGTTGCACTCAGGTACCACAGAGGCGACTCACAAAGCAACAGCAAGGCTGCCTTGTAACTTCAGCATATCTGGAGCTATAATCTTAATAATCACAGCTCCTCCCCTTCTAACAGAACTAGACAGGGCAGCAGAAGACCCACAAATTCTATTCTGGCAAATAGCAAAACATATGGAAGACTGAGTAGGAAGTTGGTACTACATTTTTACTTTTTCATAAATTCATAGACAAAAACCCCAAAGTTACTCTTATGACTGCTGAGTAACATGAAACAAGAGATGGAAGGCACAGGAGTCAGGCCAATTAAACACCTGGCCCATTGGGGTTTTATTGTTCTCAGGTTGTGTGTGGGTTTTTTTGTTTGGGGGAAGGAGGGTGGGTGGGATGGTTTCTGGTTGGTTTGTTTTGCATTTTTTTTTTTGGTTGGTGTTTTTTTGTTTGTTTGGTTTGGTTTTGGTTTTTTTCCTCTCCCTTCAAACTGGTATAAAGCAGCTTCACCCGTTCTGTCTAATCCTTTCACCAGAAAGGCAAACCTGCTTTACATGTTAGTAAGAATTCCCTCTTACAGTCTTCACAGTGAGGCACTGTTACTGTTACCTCTGCATTCATATTTGCTCTCCCAAAGAGCACTTTATCATCCCTCCTTATTCATGTAATGAAAAACAGGAAAAGCAATACTGGAAGCACATTTGAGAAAGATAAACTGAATCTTGAGCAAGTTGTTTTGCACTGGAAAAGGTCAAGAGAGAACAGTTTACCTCGTTTGCATGATCCATGTAAGCTTTTATTTCCTTCTTCAAACCTGCTTCGCTTTCTCCTTTCAAAGTGAAAACTTTCCCGGATTTTTCAATCACACGAGTTATACCAGCTGTCTTGTGTATCTTTGCTCCTGTAAAAGTAAAAATTACTAATGTGAGGTAAATAACACCAGCATCTATGAAACAGATATTTCTTCCATTAGATTCTACTCTACTGAAGGGTATTTCACTGACTCAACTACAGCAAGAATAAAACCACTCCTGTGTGAGCTCATTGTCTAGCAGAAATAAAAAGCCACTTAAACTGGGACTGTAATGTTAACTGAATGCCTTCTATGGCCAAAGACCACTACTTAAATGAGCTGAATAATGCATTTATTACATACTTGAAGAACTAGCTTTCTAAACATTCATCTGAGACAAAACTAACATCTCTAACAGCCTTGTCAAAAAGTTCCTAGTCTTTTCTTCAACCTGAAATGTTTTAGGTTTTGACAGTATTTCAGTGCAGCTTTATTAACATAACTGCAAAATTGAATACATACCATCATAAAAACAAATTTCAACATCTGCAGTGGGTGAATTTTCCATCAACATGCACTTGGCGTATCTTGTGTAGAACGTAACTTTGGGGGTTTTTGTTCTTACCAACTGCACAAACTTGGCTGCATACTGGTATTTTTTCCAGTACTTCTCTAAAAAAGAAAATTTTAAAACTTTCATCAGAAGGTCATCAGAATATACACTGTACATCAGCTTGGAGAGAAGTAATTGAAAAGAGGTATTTGATAAATATTGCAGTCTCCATCTGAGTACTTAAAAGAAGCACCTTCAAAGAAACTGACTTATTTCCACCAATTTTTAGGAAAGTATGCATCTTCAAGAGCTGCACTTGAATAGCTTCAATTAACAGAGCTGAGAACCTCAACAGCATGGTAAAATTCTGCATGTATTGTTTAACTAGGTACCATGGGCCAGGTGGCTTCCTGGCCTCAGGACAAGCTTTGATCTAAAATTAGTAGAGATGTCTGCTTGTCTCTTAAGAAGGTAGAGTTAGCTTGTATTTGTTCTTCAGCTGTCTACATTACTCTGTCACTGCTTTTAAACATTTTTCCCCTTCCTCCCCAAATTATGAGTATTAGGAAGCACAAAATATAGTTTTTAAAATTACTTGATATTTCTTCCACTCATACTTAAACAGCTTCCAATATTAATCAGAAAAATATGAAAGCTTTTAATTCTAGCACACTACATAGTGAAGGGGCAAGTGGCTCCTTATAACTTCCACACAAAATGAGTTAAAACAATCTTGTGAGGTTTCAAAAATACAATTTCCAGCTAAACTGTAGTTTAAACGTTATAATGAAAGGAATTTTATCTTTAATCTACAGTTATCTGAAAAATAGCAGCTAAAAGCTGAAAAGTCTCAAACAAGATTCACTTAATAATTCACTTAGTGATAATAAGTTTAAAATAAATTTCAAGTTACCTGGCAAGTTGTCCAAATTATACATACAGAGCTCTTCAGGAGGAGCAGGAGGTCTGTCATCAAGAAGGAAACCTCTTCCTTCATTTGGATGATACACTGCAACCTACAAAAAGCCAGGAGGGGGAGAAGGGAAAGTTGGGCATGAAAGAAATCTGTTTACAGTTGCAATTTACTACAGCACTCCCTACTTTTAACACATATGGGAACAAGTGACAGCTTCATTACTATAATGTACCATGCCCACGCTATTCCTGTATGTGATGATTTTACTGGAACATGTTTCCAACAATAGTTTACCTGTTCCAAAAGTCAAGTCCCGTTTTGCTCTGCAATAATTGCTTGCTACCTAGATTTGTATGGCTGCACTGGGAGTGGGGGGAAGGAGTTTACAGCTGTGCATATGTAAATACTGCATTTCCAACCACATAATCACTGAAATGAAAATTTAAAAAACTCTGAAAGAACAGAATACTCTAAACCCTTTATACAGCAGTGAAGAAATGGAGAAGGTACTCACCACATTTCCATCACAAGATATTCTGAGAACTTCTTTCACAAGTTCTTGTGAATGGTGTTCTTTTAGAAACTCCATACACACTTCCCCAGTATCTAGAATGCTCACCTAAAACACAAAATATACAAAAAATTCTCTTTCTCACAAGGTATCACATTTTTTTCCACAAATGGTTTTAAAAAGTGGCATCTGTCTTCCTCAAATGCACTGCAAGCTTATAAATGCTTCTTACAGTAACTTTTGCTAGTCGTGCTATTCAGATAGAACACCTCTGCAGCATGAATGAGGGTTATAAGCAGCCACACCCTCACCCACCAGGCTTAAGTGACAAATCAAATGAAGGTAGGTCAGCTCTATTATGTTCCTTCTTAAAAAACAAAGTGGGGGCAGGGGGAAACGCGACAGGAGGGGCACGACTAAGAAATGGAACAAAAGGCAAAAATGGTGACACCAGGAACAAAACAAACAGAAAAATTTATGTGATCAGTAAGGATTAAGGGAATTTGTTTTGTTTTCCCACCAACAAGAGAGGGAAAAGCAGCACTGTCCGAAAAAAGAGTCAAGTTTTTACTTCAGAGCAACTGTTTTCATTTTCAATCCAGTTCTTTAATCTGGAGAAGTGTTTGATGTGTTTGACAGTTAAAATCTTAAATGCAACCGTGCTTAAATGCTAAGCAGTGCAGAGTTCTAGAACTTTGTATCTGTTCCATCTACCTACAGTTTTTTCATTTGTAAGTATTCCATACACAAAAACTAAGATGCATCTGACTAATATAACTCAAAGTTATTATAGATTAAGTTTTCTAAAACCAAATGCTTTAGTTTACCACATGATTTTCAGGAGACAGTCACACTATATTTAATACTCAAGTCATTTTCATTTTAAGAACTGGTACATACCACTGCATTCTTTGTTTTTTGCCTGATTGGTTTTAGCCTGCGGGCATCGAGTGGTGATACTATACTTCGCAGCACAGGTTTCTGGTGTGCTGGTGGTCCTTTGCCCCACGTTTGGTTTTGTTCTGAAGATGACCAAAGGCCACATGTAGAAGAAGACTGTTGAATTTTCTCAGATTTGCAAAAAACTCCAGGCATGTATTGCTTTGGGTTTTTCTGGTTCAAAGAATGTGGGTAGTCAACTGATGCATCATGGTTCCTGATGTCTTTTAAGGTGTCCCACGCATTTCTTGATGCATCTTGCTGGACATCCAAATGGTAGCGAAAGCCTCCGTGTGCATTACTCCTGCCAGGCAGCTCTGCAGGTGGCCTCAGCGCAACTGAAACCATCACAAAGGTACATTGCAGATTCAAGGGGCCACAGGCAGAAATAAAAAATGCTACTATGTTGTTCAAAACGCCATCTTAGAAGGCTTAATTGGAGAATGGGATTCTTTAATTCTCAGTCCAAATCACTAGGCTGTGTCTTTACTACCAATCGATACCAGTGCTAACAAAATTATAGGGCTACTTAAAATAAGCCGTTACTACATTTCAGTCATGATGACCTTCAAGTCCTAACATACATCAAATCAGTTTGTAAAACCATTTATAAACCAAATACTGGGATTTCAAAGAGATACTTAGAGTTTATAAGAATTAGTTTCATCTGTCAAAAGACAGTTTACTTGCCATTCAGATAACCAGTAGTGGCAAGTTTTGTTCAAGTTTCAGCTTATCTAACTAGTGGTTTAGTATCAAACAGAAGTTGTTGTATTCAAGATGTTAAACATGCTCCAAACCCCTTGTTTTATTTCTAGTCACTTGTCAAAAGACGAAAGACTATTTTTATATTCAAACTTTCTAAAACTGCTTCCCTAGTTTTAATATTTAAGCCTTTGATCAACTTTTCACCTCACCCACCCAAGTATTTCACTCCTCCTGACATATTGCAGAACAGTTGAGAAGCGACCAAAAATGAAATGGGATTATTCAGACCATATGTCATTTGATTCTAATTCCCTGTAGACTGGAAGGGAAGGAGTCCAGTAATATCAAGACAAAAAAAGGACAGATTTGTGATTTAGTTTTATGATTAAATTACATTATTTGTTAATGATGTAACACGATGCATGGCAAAGAACACCACCTCCCCTTCTGTGTCTTTTGTCTTTTCCTCCACCCCTCCTTCTGCAGCCTGGTTATCTTTCTGATTCACTGAGGTCCCATTTTCTCCTAAGGCATATTTGCACAGCTAAATTAACAGGGCCTTTGAGTCACCTGCCCATCTTGTGTCATGGATTTATACTTAGACATGTTTCAGGTTACAACTGAATAATTAGGGCAGGTTCTAGAATCGTACACTTTTTCTCCTCTTAAATAATAAAAAATAATTACCTCATTTTAGGAAGCTAAGTCTTCAAATTCAAGGTGCAATGTCTTCACACTTACGAAAACAGTTACACTGAGTTCATGATACCAACCCAGCAGCTTCAGAGGAACACTAACTCCAAAACCTTCTGAAATTAATTCCTATCTCAGGAAACTAAAATGTTACCACTTAGTCCAAAAGAGAAAATAAAACAACCTTTTTAAGTGGGATATTACTTAAGAAGGATTCCACAGATTAGTGATGGTGGAAATAATTTTGACTTTCAATAGCTGTGTCAATTTTTTGCAGTGACAAATCAGTTTAGGGTCTCCCATGCTTCTGTCACAAGTTTAAAGAAATAAAATACAGAAAAACCCACAGAAACTGTTGCAAGTCAGTACTCCAAGGTAAGCCCCAAAATACACAGCTGTCAGTACACACCGTTTGTCTGCATGCCTCCGAGCCACTGCTGCATTGTTTCAGCCTGAGACTTCTGCTCTAAGAAACCACCCTGGGGCTTCACCGGGCAGGGATAATTTGAGCTGCAAAAGAGAAGTTCCACATGTAGTCAAGATTGCATCAAAGACACTGGCACAACAGAAGTTACAAGGTTACAGCTGCAGAAACCAGGGCACTTTCAGAACATTTAAGTGGCATTTTACAGCTCTAGACAGCATGTAGCATGCTGCTTCTTCATGGGGAATGTTCACTGAGTAAAGGATAAAAAAAATACTGTTTTCAAATGGAATAAAAAGTTATTACTTATTTTTAGCACAAATTCAAGCCTGTCAGCACTTACTAGTAGACTCTTACAACTGACATACATGAACAAAAAGAGCCATTGATAACGCTGCCCACAGTGGTTGTCCTTATGTCTAGTTCTTCATTCACAGTATAGGCAACAACCTCAGAGAAGACAGAGGGGTGATGCCCATGACCCCAGCCAACCTCATTCAGCATTGCAAATGTGCAGCTGAAATACGTAGGCAAACTTAAAATAATTTGAATTTATATAAAATACAGTAAAACCCAAAGATCAGAAAGATTTTTACCAGCTTCTTAGACAATGACATGTGTAGCCATGGGGGAACTCAAGCTATAAATCCACAAGTTGAAGAACAAAAAAAAATTACAACAGCAGTTACTGCAAAATCACTGATCCATTGTAAATTCACACTAAGCTGCTGTGAGGTTTTCTGTCTCTGCGGCCTGGACCTGTCTGTGCTTCTGTTCTGTGATGATCACTCTCTAGCACTGGCAAGGACTCACCACAAAAAAACCCCACACAAACCACCACAATGCACAGAATATAAGCACCTAATTTAGATCTTAGAACCTTGTATTTAAGACTGCTGTGCAGGCTAACCATAGATGCAAGAGACTCCATGCAATATTAGCAATATTAGTAACCATTCAGTTAATCCCTACACATGCTGATATTCTGTCACATTTACATGCACCATGTCTTTATGAAGTCATGAAGTCATTGACATTTTAAGTCAAGTAAGCATTATGTTAACATTTGCATAAGTTATTTCTTTTTTGATTCAAACATTTCTCAAACTAGAAAGAATGCACATGCCCAGTAAACTTGCTGAACAGAGGCTCATGTCAAACCCTTGCAAACAGTCAGGAAAAGCCTTACTCCATTTACTGTTTCTACAGGGGGAAAGTGCTCATTTGCATTTTCCCTGAACTGATTTGCAAACCCAAAAACACGAAACCATCGCACAAAGTTGAGTTTCTCTCTACATTAAGAAATGGCAAGAACTAAGATATGCTGTAGTCCTTACATTAAAATAGGAATGTTCTTTGATACTCTACCAATGGAAAAAAGAAACCATGTTCTGAGCATAGACTGAGTTTATCCCACAGAAGGGCACTTGTTACCCAGCAGTGCACACAAGGCAAAGATGAGGCTTCTGACAGCACAGAAAACATTCCAGCATCCCTTGTAGATCTGACACCCAAGTTGGATCGTATCAGCTGCGGAAGTCCATCAATGTATAAAAAGAAGTCAGGATTTTCAACCAGAAAAGAACTAAGAATAGAACTAAGTTTCAGTTTATCTTTGACTGTTATTTTCCATTATGATACACCAGTTTTGTAATCCATCACCTAATCCCGCACTTCATTTTTTTTAAATACAACTATAGAATGGGTTGGAAGGGACCTTTAAAGGTCATTCAGTCGAACCCCCGTGCAGTGAGCAGGGAGATTTTCAACTAGATCAGGTTGCTCAGAGCCCTGTCCCACCTGACCTTGAACACTGTCCAGAATGGGGCATCTACCTATCTGGGCAACCCCCGCCAGTGTTTCACCACCCCCATTCTATTACATTTCTTCCTTCTATCTAGTCCATATCTCCCCTCTTTTAGTTCAAAACCATTACCCCATGTCCTGATGCAACAGGCCCTGCTAAAAAGACTGTCCTCATCTTTCTGATTGGCCCCTGTAAGTACAGGAAGGCTGCTATAGGTCTCCCTGGAACCTTCTCTTTTCCAGGCTGAACAATCCTTTTTTCCTCCCCTTTATCTAGTCTAAGCAGAATAGAAAAGAAGCCCAGAGCAGCAAGTAAAGCCATTGATACTCTCTGAATGACTTCTACCCTAGTCTATGCCTCTCTTACAAAGAAAACA